AGTGTGTCTGTGAGGCTTTTTTAATTTTGTTTTGTTATTTTAAATTAAAATTTCTAGGGTATATTAGCTACCCAGTCGCTCCAAATTATCTTTAGCGACGACAAGTTAAAAGTCGCCACAATTAATATGGAGTCAAAATTTTATTTTTAGCGGGACCGAAAATTTCAACCACATCAGAGGCGACCTCAAAAAAGTCGCTGCTAAATATTTACCTTCTGTAGTGACCTTTAATGTTGTTGATAATGCTATAAATATTATAGCAACCTATATGATCGCCGCTATATGTTGTCACTAAAAATTCAAATTCTTGTAGTGCTTCTAGTCACTTTATTACTTGACGATCGCATATACGTGCGTGTGCGTTTGGCCACAACACTGATTATCAACCTAAATGAATATCAATACAATATAATAAACCCCTATTATGTTACGTACCATTAATCTCCTTCCTTAACTCCGTAACAACCTGTAACCCCTATTAACAATCTATTAACAGTCTTCTAATAACTTTCTAAGTGCTGCCTATACAATAACTATTATACCCTTTGTATCTTCCTAAATGAACTACAATAACCTCCTTTACTTATCCTATATACTATGGTATGTAATATTTGGTTCAACGAATTAGGTGAATTATCTCGGTATAAGTGTTAGAATTAAATTTTATTAGTTGGAGGTATTAGCTAAAATCGATATTTATTTATACTAAGATCTTGATATAACTTATTTCATATAGATGGTGGGATAAGTTATTCAAGTTTTAATCATGATTATAATGCTATAAATATAATACGTTTAGTTCAAGAGATTAGATGGGTTATCATGCGTTTGGTTGAAAGTATTAGCTAAAATTGATTATATTTGTATAGAAAAATCTTGACATAAGTTATCTCATATAAAAGGTGAAAAAATTATCCAAATTATAATCCTAATTATAATCAAGGATTGTAATCCTGCGATATCTAGGTTTTGAACCAACCAAACCTGTATTACCCAAGCAATTTCATTCTCATTCTTGTCATAAAAAAAGAAACATTATTTGGTAATAAATTAATTAACAAAAAAGGTAATTTGTGAGATCAGTTTGAAAATCCTTGAAGAGAATTGAAGGTTAATTAAATTCGTACTATATATATTATTCTCCTCTGTCTTTTTATTTTTGTTTGCACCCATCATATTTAACAATTCTATTAAATAACTAAGATATTTCATTTGTATTGGACAATTTGATTTTCTTTTGACTTTCTTTACCGCTTGAGCCGATATCAGCCCTAGAATTAGATGCCTCACGATTTTCACGATAACGATTTTTCGTATGCGAATGTATAATTATGTTAGCTTCGTTGTTCCCATGAAGTGGAGGTATGAAGATAATCTGTTATTCATATCTCAAACCATTAGTATATCTTTATGTGTTTACAATCCTTTAATTGCAAATATCCAAATTTTGTACTCAGATTTAAAATCTTTAATTAAGACGTAGTTCACAGTAAAAAAACTAAAGGTGACATTTTACAACATGTATCTTAGAATTTTCTTCTATTATATTAATATTTAGTAAAAATAAATTATGGTACACGTATAGATGTTGAACTAATAACCGATTTTTGTTATTTAGCATAATCTTTAAAATTTCTACGAGTATAAAAAATATTTGCACAATCAAATCAATTATGTAATTTTAGGTAAATCTCTTGATAAAATGTAAAGTGATAACTTGGTAAAAAGAATAACTAACATGCTATCACGGTAAAAGTAAAATTCACTGATAGCTTAAAAACTATTTATTAATTATATCAAAATGTATAACTAAATCCTTACGAAAAAGATAATCCCTCCGTTTCAATTTATGTGAACCCATTTGACTGAACACGAAATTTAAGAAAAGAGAGAAGACTTTTGAACTTGTGGTGTAAAATAAAATACATATATTTTGTGTGGCTATAAATCATTGCATAAATGTAAATTGTTTCCAAATAGGGAAATAGGTCATTCTTTTTGGCACGGACTAAAAAGAAAATAAGTTTAGATAAATTGAAACGGATGGAGTATAACGTTAGTAGTAACATTGTCCGGGGAGAAAATCATCAAAATTAAAAGATGAGGCTCCACTATAATTTTAACGGCACTAGACCTAGATTTATGCTTAATTTCTGTGACTTTGTTCACTGTTAAGACACTAGAGCTTGTTTCATTGTACACATGCATGATCGAGATTACGTGTTAAGACACTAATGTGTATCTTTTGTGGCAACCACCGGTAGTCGTCACAAAAAATATTCAGTTGTACATGCAGCAACTCAAGTGTCGCTGCTATACATCTTTAGTGCTAGATCATTTTTACCATATTGATAACATAAAAATGGTAGATCGTTAGATTTCTTGTAGTGCTAGATCGTTTTCACCATATTGATAACATAAAAATGTACATGTCCTTTGTTCAAAGTTCACTAAATGTTTTTTCTTTTATTTTGGTTAGTTTAGATTCAAACACTTCTAGGTTAATTCTTGTTTCAATAATTAAGATAGTCTAATTTAGTTAATAGTTGATAACAAGTTTTCGTGGGTTTGACATTCGACTTCTAGTCACTTTAGTACTTGACAACCGCATATACGTGCGTGTGCATTTGGCCGCAACACTTATTATCAACCTAAATGAATATTAATACAATATAATAAACCCCTATTATGTTACGCACCATTAATCTCCTTCCTTAACTCCGTAACAACCTGTAACCCCTATTAACAATCTGTTAACACTCGTCTAACAACTTTCTAAGTGCTGGCCTATACAATAACTAGTATACCCTTTGCATCTTCCTAAATGGACTAGAATACCCTCCTTTATTTATCCTTTATACTATGGCATGTAACATTTGGTTCAACGGATTAGGTGGATTATCTCCGTATAAGTTTTAGAATTAAATTGTATCTCATGTTTGGTTGGAGGTATTAGCTAAAATCGTTATTTATTTATATCAAAATCTTGATATAACTTATTTTATATAGAAGGTGAGATAAGTTATTCAGGTTTTAATCATGATTATAATCTTATAATTATAATATGTTTAGTTCAAGAGATTAGGTGAGTTATTCCAGTATAAATTTTGAAATTAAATTTATCATGTGTTTGGTTGAAAGTATTAGCTAAAATTGATAATATTTGTATAGCAAAAATCTTGACATAAGTTATCTCATATAAAAAGTAGAATAAGTTATCCAAATTATAATCAAGGATTGTAATCATGCGATATCTAGGTTTTGAACCAACCAACCCCGTATTACCCAAACAATTTCATTCTCATTCTTGTCATAAAAAAAGAAACATTATTTTGGTAAGAAATTAATTACGCAAAAAGGTTATTTGTGAGATCAGTTTAAAAATCCTTGAAGAGATTTGAAGGTTAATTAAATTCGTACTATATATATTATATCTCCTCTGTCTTTTTTGTTTTTTGTTTGCACCCATCATATACAATTCTATTAAATAACTGAGATATTTCATTTTTATTGGACAATTTGATTTTCTTTTGACTTTCTTTATCGCTTGAGCCGATATCAGCCCTAGAACTAGATTTCTCACATTTTTCACGATAACGATTTTTCGTATGCGAATGTATAATTATGTTAGCTTCGTTGGTCACATGTAGTGAGGTATGAAGATAATCTGTTATTCATATCTCGAACCATTAGTATATCTTTATGTGTTTACAATCCTTTAATTGCAATTATCCAAATTTTGTACTCAGATTTAAAATCTTTAATTAAGACGTAGTTCACATAAAAAAAACTAATGGTGACATTTTACAACATGTATCTTAGAATTTCTTCTATTATATTAATATTTAGTAAAAATAAATTATAGTACACATATAGATGTTGAACTAATAAACAATTTTTGTTATTTAGCATTATCTTTAAAATTTCTACGCAGTAGTGGCATAAAAAATATTTGCACAATCAAATCAATTATGTAATTATAGGTAAATGTCTTGATAAAATATAAAGTGATAACTTGGTACATGCTATCACAGTAAAGGTAAAATTCGCTGATAGCTTAAAAACGTTTTATTAATTATATTAAAATGTATAACAAAATCCTTAAGAAAAAGATATAACCTTAGTAGTAAGGTTGTCCGGGGAGAAAATCATCAAAATTAAAAGATGAGGCTCCACTTTAATTTTGACGGCACTAGGCCTAGATTTATGCTTAATTTCTTGCGACTTTGTTCACTGTTGAGACACTAGAGCTTGTTTCATTGTACAGATGCATGATCGAGATTAGGTGTTATGAAATTAGAAAAAGAGAGAGGATGAAATGAAAAAATTGCCTTGAAATTAAAGACAAATGTTTTATTCCAAGACGATTAAAACATAGGATCGGATCGGAAGGGAAGACATTTATTTATATATTTGATATTTATAACATACATAAATTTGGACTTAATTAATTAAAAACAATCCTTAAGTTCAATCTCCACATTGTCGATGCTGACCACTTCGCCCCCCTTCTTTGGAACCACAGTTACCGCAATAATGTCTTCATCTTCCAAACCACAGTCCTCAAGAAGTTCAGTGATGGCTAGCTTGAATTCTTTTGGTTTAAACTCATGAGTGGCATTATTAGGTCCATGAACATGTGGCAAGCTGGTATAGCTCCCTGCATACTCTCTCTTGTTAATGTCATCTGCATTCACAGTCTTGTCTGCATTGAGGAACACATCAAACCTTATATACTTGCTATCATCATACTTTACACCCTTGAATGTTAGGATCTCCTCGAATTCATCTTTCTCCTGCTGACTCCTTGATGTAGCTGGCCTCTCTATACTAAAGCAAATGGCTCTGTCCAGATTTGAGAGTGGGAATACCTTGCTGGCTGGCTTAA